ATGAATAAATAATAACAAAGTATTGGACAAAGACAACAATTTTTGTAAAAAAGAAAGAAAATGAAAATTATCGTTTGCAAGTTTTGTTATATTTAAATCCTTCCCAATTTTTAAGTATTAATGATTCAAACCAATCAATAAATATCTTCTAAATATGCATATTTGTAAGCATTTTAATCACAAATTGATATCATTAATTAATCATTTAACTAAGAAAAATATTTTGATTACAATTTATTGAAAGAAATTTCATAGCTTTAGTAACGTTTAGAAAAAAAAAAAAAAAAGAATCAGAAATTAATATTATTAATAAATAATATCCAAAATATGAGAAGCAAAGCAGTATTATAGGTTAGGAATACAATTGCTGATACATTTTCCAATGGATACAGGCAATAAAATTAGGTCATTTCATTTCCAAATAATGGACGGATAATAACTATCGAATCATATATTTTTGCTATAAAGTAGTGATTATGAAGAGATCGGGAAAGTAGCATCTTTACGGGTAAATGCGTGGGTAAATGCGGAAAATGGGCAAATTGAACTCTGCTAAAGTTAGTGTTAGAAGAATTATCGGATGAGTCAACAAATAATATGGCTTATGAACAATTAAAGTATGCAATGCTTATATTTTAATTACCTGTCGCTCTATTTTTTTTTTTTTTTTTGTTCTTGCAATCATTGAATATATCAATTATTCATCACAAATACAATCGTATTTATATTATTTTACAATTTGTTAATTTTTTTTTTTTTTTTTTCAAAATTTAAGCTAACAAATAATAAAATATTATCACAATAACAGTTCTTCTATTCTTAATTTTAGAAAAATTTTTGTGAATTTCTATCAAAAAATTTCTTTCAAAGAAAAATTACATTGCCATTATGTATAACAAAAAAAAAAAAAATAAATCATTACATACTTTCTTTTTTTTTTGGATAAAAAATTAAAAAAAAAAGTTACAATAAAATTGAAAAAAAAAAAAGAAAAAAAAAAAAAAAAAAAGACCTTCTAAAATTTAATACTTTCTTTTCTCACATTTTTAAAATACATTTTGAAGAAAAGTATTGTGACAGATGACAGTATTGTTTAATTCCTAAAACTGTTAATGTTGTGATGCACTTAATTATCAATCGATGATATACCATGGGAGTTACTTGAAATTTTGAACTTTTAAGCGATCAAGAAAATTCAATGATCAAAAAAATAAATTATTATTTACTTTCAAAATTGGCGAAGCCTTCACCTGATCTTTTATCATAACATTAATCATTTATCAATATTTGATAAGGTTAATCATCTACTCTAATTAGCACATATCACATAAATCAGTTTTATTTTACTACGAAAGCTATTTTAAACTTCAAATAGCTGTAATAGTTATTTTATTATAATATCGGATGCAAAAGTTTCATATACCAATGTTTCTTCTTTTATTACTTTTCTTCTTATAGCACTGTTTGTCGTTTTTTAGATATTAATTTTCGAGAAAACCTCTAATCTTATTTATTATTCCTTGAAAATAGGAAAATATTGTTAAGCAGTAAAGTATTAATTAATTTAAATGTGCACTGTTTGTCGTTTTTTAGATATTAATTTTCGAGAAAACCTCTAATCTTATACCATGGAGAATTTCTAATATTTTATGGCTAATTGTTATGATATGATAACAATAATCATAACTATTGTTATCATATCATAAAATTTTTTATGAGACAAAATTATCGAAATGTGCAATTTGAATGCAAAAAAGAATTCAATATTTATTGTTTGTTCCCTTTTTTCAAAGTATATGAAAAAGTTTGTTTGAAAATTTGATAAATGAAAAAAAAATTTAGTTTTGTCAATTCATTAGTTAACTTTTTAATGAACCAGCAAATTATCACCATGTATTATCAGTGGTATCATTTTATCATTATTAAAAGAATCTGGACATAATTATCAACAACGATATCATTAACAACAATCAAATGATAACTATTTTAACAAAGAATGTTTCATATGCCTTCTGCTGGAAAGTGGTTAAGAAAAATTTTTATTACCCCGATCAAAGGAGTATTAAACGAGAGGTCAATCAGATTGAATGAGAGCACAAATTAAATCCACAAAAGGATAATAAAATAAATTTTACAACCAGAGAAAGTTAACATAAATAGAATTTAAGATTAGATTTAAATGGATTTTAAATGAGTTTTTTTTTTTTTTAAATGAATTTTAATTTTAACTTTTGAAATGTTTATTTAAAAGAATATTTCAAAAGTTAATCAGTTGATTAAGTCTTTTCAGTTTTTGAAAGGATTTTGTTACTACTTTAGAATTGGTCAAAATTTAAAGGAAATTAACGTAAGCAAAAGGAAAAATGAGCTAATCCAAATAATATCAAACTTTTAAAGTTTCTTACTGCAATACTAATCTTAAATTGCTTATTTCCATTATCCGTTAGACATTATAGTATTTTTAGCTTATCTACGATAGCATAAAACACGAAGAAGCAAATTTAAATTGTAAAGCAGAAAAAGAAAATTCTAAAATGAGGTGACAAAATAAAATTCTTTTTCAAATATTTAAATTTTCAAATTTCTCTCTCTTGGAAATTTCAACATTACGTTTGGAAAATAAATTTCAAAGTACTTAAATTACTTAACATTTCTACTCAGCCATCAAATCAAATAACAACCAATCAGTTTGAAAAAAGTTTTAAAAAGGAATGTTTGAAAGAAGAAGAAAAAATTGTAATAATCAAATTTTGCTGCATTATTACTTTTAATTGTGTTTTCAATCCATAAATACTTGAAATTAAATATTTCTATGAATTATCCATAACTCATTTGTTTTTTATTTTTTGCTAAATTATTGATGACGGCTCAGAAAAAAAAAAGCAAAAAAAGCAAAAATCATTTCGATATGGTAGCAAAATGTTTACTATAAAATATGTTTATTGATGACATTGTTTACATTTAATTTTCATAGTGTTTGATTCATAGTAATCATTCTGCTCATATAAATTTAGTAATTCGTTAATTTTTTATAATAATTAAGTAAAAAATTAGTATGAATTGATAATTTTGGTTCAAAGATACTCGAATAAAAACTGTGAAAAATTAAATACACATTTACGAACATTTCAAATTCTAAAAAAAAAAAAAAAGTTATAAATTTCGAATCAAATTTCTGCATACTCATAGAATATTTGTCATTCACATTAATTTTGACGAGAATTTTCACCTCAAATATTTTTCCATTTTCATTCATTCAAATCATTTCATTTCTTAACCTCTTTAATCTCAATCATAATGCTGGCGACTAATTCGATTTCTCTTTTTTTTTTTTATATTCTATGATGGTTATCAAAGGAGGCGCAAATGGCATGGCGCTTTTTTCTTATTCGATTTTGCCGATCAATGCGACCTATACAAAATGAACAATTGTCAAATGAACAAAAGAAATACTTTTGCTCTTTGGTTTTTATAACACAATCAGATTTTGTGGAGAAAAAAAAAAAAAAAAAAAACTGAAGCAGTTTAATTTAAATTCAATTCACTGAACCATCACAAGGACTAATATCTGATAATTCAGTGCAACATGTTTTCCTGGTGAATGCAAACCGGATTTGTACTATTTTAAGTTTTCCGAAAGAAAAGAAATTCTCGTCGTCAACCTTTGGACTACTTTTGCTTCATTGGTTTGTTATGTGTTATTAACAATTTAACGTATAATGCAATACAATTTATAGACGAATTCAAATTTAACACTAAAATTATCAATGATTTTTATTTTTTTCAAATTGTGCTGAAAATTTCCATCAAATATAGATATCATCAAGGATTTAAAGTCAACCATCAAAAGTCAATCATTTTACAAATTGAGTAATTGCTGTCAAAAAAGAAAAAAAAAATAAAGTAACACAAACAATTAATCATTTAATATTCATTGAATTGAAATGACGATACAACAACACTCAATAAAATATTTCAACAAAATTTTTTCAAATTTTTTTTTAAACCCTTCATTTTTCACCTTTTACAGCAAAAATTTTAAAATAACGATTATAATTTTTATCCATCAATTCATTTTTATTCATCAATTTTTCACATTTTTACGGGGAAAAATTTTTATTTATCTAATTTTTATCAGATCTGTAAACAAAATAACAATGACAAATTGTTGTAAACAATGCAATAATTAGGAAAAATAAATTTCCGATGAAAATGATATTTTTTTTTTTTTTTAGAAATTACTAATTTGTTTTATAATTAAGAATTTTGAGTAAAAACGACAAAAGACATGTCAACAAAGAGAGAGAGAGAGAGATTAATTTGATACTTAATTAAATTGAAATAGCGGGAAATAATATCAGAAAATAAATAGTCAATAGATGAAACAAATCCGATAGTTATCATTTTTTTTTTTTCTCCACCTAGGATGTTGCAATAATTATAGTACATGATAAGACGAATAAACTGAGTGACTGATAGGAATGAAATAACAACAAAATATAAACAAAGTTACTGATAATATTAAGAATAAAATTTGAATTGAAATGTTTTCAAATTAATTGAAATGAATTAAATGGTAGAAAAGATGATTTTGAAACCTTTCAATGGCATCGTATATGTATAAGAATACACTGTAAAGGAAAAAAAAAATTAGTTATTAATAATTTTTTTATTATTAGTAAAAAAAAAATAATTAAAAAAACAAAAAAAACAAAATTAAATAAGCATATTATTGAGGTATGCTAATCAATTCAAAGTATCAACAATTAAATGCAATAAATAGAAAACTTCAAAATTATTTTATTAACAAACTCTAAATCTGATGTGAAATTTGAAGATTCATTTCTAAAATTATGCTTCAACCAAAATTCATTAAAGCAAAAATTTTAAAATTATTAAAATCAAAATGATATTGTATTTACTAAATATTGTATTCAAAATTAATAATTTCTTAACTTAAGGCATTACTTTAATATATTCAAAATTACTTACTACTAAATTTAGAATTGGATGGTAAAATCCGACGATAAAGTTGGATAATAGTAAACTAACGAGCAATTATCAATAGTCAATGATCGTTCCACCATGCTACGATGCCAATATAAACATACTAATAATTGTATCACAATCTAAAATTTTTTGACTCATCGATCAATGATGGATTTTATGGCAGTTCACTAAACAGTTAATTAATTTTAGTAACTATCTGACTCATCATTTAAGTTAAATTAAGTAAATAGTAAGATTTAGACGCAAATGGAAATTTTTAAGTAAAACTTACCAAAAGAAGAAGCAATACGAGTCCAATAAATCCATAAAGCAAAGAATACAACGACCAACTCTGTAAATTTGCCCAATAATCAAACAAATTTTTTAATTGTTTATTAAAGAGGAATATGTAATGAAGAAGAAACCTGATATTGCTTATCAGTAATGCTTTTACCCATTTTTGTACAGTTATTATCATTGGCTTCCTGTAAAGCGCATAATTCATCATCGAATAGAACAATTGCGCCGGATAGATTCGATAAAACTGACTTTCTCATATTACATGTTATAGCTAATGATGATGAGTCATAAAGATTCCTGAAAATAAATTCCAGTAACTTTTTCTTGAGAAAAAAGAATGAAGCAATTCTCAATATTAATTAAATTTAATATTGGTTATTTCTTAAGGAGAAAATTCAAATTATTCAAACTTTGTAAAATATTTGTCTCAAGAATTTGCTTCTAAAAGCTTTAATTGAAGATGGAATAGTTTATATAAATTTTAATATTACTAAAAAGCATTTCAAATGATCTAGATCTTACGTAATAAATTGCTTCGCATTTTCTTCTTCGAATGTATGAATAACGGCAATATCACGTGAAACGCTTAAATAGCGTAAATTAACACCTTCGAACGCTTGTACTGGCGTTCCTTGCTTACCACTAAGCAAAATTTGCATAATACTTTCATAAGGGAAAGAATATAGAATAAATTCATTGTCAGCTTGCTTTTCCACATAATAAAACTGTAATATACAAATTGAAATTAGAAATGTATGATCGATAGTATGAGTAATCCAAAATTTTGATTAACTAACATAGCTGAATTGAAAATTAACTTAGATTTACATGCAAATATCAAATTTGATTTAATTAAAATTCTCTTCACATAATGTAATTTTATTAAAGTTTTTGACAACCAAAAATGTAATATTATTCAAAAGTCACAGAATTCGATTGTGCCATTATTATGATCATATAACTCTTGAGATTAAAAGTAATTTTTTGTTACTGTTTTGTTTTTAATTTTTTTTTTTAGAGAAAGTATATTTTTTTCTTTTTTTTAGAAAGTATAGAAAAAAGTATAGTAAAATTATTTTCATAAAGCGATGAAGGAAAAAAAAAATTGAAAATTGAAACAAACTTTGCGATAATATGGATCCTCCGTCCATAATATTCTGATATTATTATTAGAATGAATATTTCGAAATGCGTTTAATTCAAAAAATTTTAATCTACCGTTTGGCATAAATTGTATGTAAAATTTGATACATTCTAAAGTGAAATGATCATCTGCTAAAGTTAAGTTTCGTAGTACATATAATATTCGTTCTTTGTTGTCAACAAGTGTCGCAACCTGTAACATTTTCCCTTTCAATTTTCATATGCAATCACTGAAATTAAAGGTAATTCAATTATTTAGTGAATTAAATTTCTATCACAGCACAAATAACATTTTCTGTTCTGTGATATAGCAAGTGAAAAGATATTTCATTGTTGGTTAACTTCAGTCAAATCTTAAAAAGCCTTAAAAAGTAACTTATACCTTTAACTAATTTACATCTTATTTGAATTAGATTATGAATGAGGATCAGATGAATTAGAATAAGTCTAACAAATAACTCTCAGATGTCCAGGTCATATCCAGGTAGCTTTAATACCTATGTAATTTCAATAAAATGAATTGAAGATGAACTATTATTGATTACTAAGCGAAGAACAGAAAAGTATAACCGTACTGACCACTTGTTTCCGAAGCAGATTGTCACCAATGTGATTATGTGAACTTTCTAAATTCACATATGTTTTCTCAGAGACATTTGCAAAAATGCGCTTCTGTCTAGGCCATGGAATTTGTAATTGTTGGGCAATTAGATTACCTGGAAAGTTTGATTTTTCTACATAAAAGGCAAAACAGCACAGAAATACAAATTGTACTAATTTTTGATAAAACGTTACTGATAAGTGTCATTTCTAATGTGATAATATACATTCTAAGAATTAAGAAATTTTTTTCTTTTGTTTGAAAATTAGTATTAAGGTGACGTGAGACAAGAACGTGATAAATTGACGGACGTGAGACTAATTGAGATAGATAAGCACGTTGTTAAATACACACCGAACACTTTTTTAGCTCCTAAAATCAAAAGTTTTGGCACTTCGTTATCGCGCAAAATGAGATGTAATCTTAAATGTGGACAATTGGACTGATTTGATATGCCACTGAAAAATAATTCTTCTTCAAATGGAAATAAAAATAATATTAGGAATGCTAAATTTTCTCAATAAATAATATTTTGATAAGAAATACTACTTCTTGCTTTGATGAAAAATGATAAAACGGAAAAAAATTTCTACGATTTTTAAGAGATAACAGAAAAAGGTTTAAACTTTGTTCTTTACATTTTCTTTTATAACTTTAAAATGAAACCATAGTAAATGATATTAACGAAGCAAATGTCTTTTATAATTTTAAAATTTTAATATACAAATTTAATAATTAAAAAAAATTCCCTCACCTCATACGGACAGTATTATGATATGAGCAAGCATTCATTGCTGATATTTCTTCCACTATCAAATGACAATCTGATAAGGCAACGAATAAGAATTGCTCAGTATGAAATAATTTAGCAAATGCTAATTTGTTGTTCTTTAGCGCTTGGCAAACAAATCCATTAGGTAAAACAACAAAGATTAGTAATACAAACAATTCATACATCCTTTCATCATACCGCATCGTGTTTAAATTTCTATAAAAATGACGAGTAAATATAGTGATTTTAAGAGATTAATGAAATGTAATCTGATTATAATTGAATAGTAACAAAATGATAAAGAAAATTAATAATTAATGCCTTATTAAACAAAAGTTATTGATAAGCTATCAAAAGATATTCATAAATGAAATTTCAAGAACTGTTCATTCACAATATCTAGAAAATTGAACCTATCATTGATATATTCTTGAAATCAATTCAAAAAAAATAAGATTTAACAAAATTATCTTTCCTAGGTACTTTCTATTGGTTATTTAAATCAGTAATTCTTATCATTTTATCACTAATTCTATAAACTAAAAATGAAAATAAATTATAGTAAATTCACAACCGAAATGCACACGATTCTACATACTCTCTAAACCTTAATTTCTATCCAATTTCTTTTTGATCTCGAATTAACCAATCTACCGATCTCGTCTACTGAACTCCATTGATCCACTCTGGATATCAAATCTCCCTTTCGGGATGTCCCATTTAACAGGAATCTCGATAAAATTGTTGAAAATAATTCGATTTTATTATTTCAACTAAATTTTAACTTCTGCTTAATTCATTACAATTGCATAAAGTAATATATAACTTACTCATATCTAACATTTAACTTAACTTAATCAGTAATTTAGCATTTCATTCTCTACTCACAAATCCTATCTATTTAACTACTGCAATAATGCAATCCTATCAAATTCTAATTAATCAGCAAAAATTCAGGTTTTCAAAACAGGCCATTAATTCTGTCACCCATCGATCAATTTTCGTATTATTATTCCAGTTTGATTGATCCAATAATGTTACAATAATAATTCTAACATCAATCAATAATATAATTTTTACCATTTATCATCTCGAAGGTTAGATGACAATGTTTTTAACTCTTTCAATTTCATTTTCGCTTCTTGGCTACAAATCATTTTAAAAATTTTTAAATTTTCATAACAACAAAATATATCAAAAAAAAAATTGTGGTCGTATTCTCAAAAGTGATATGAATAATTTATAAAACTCCCTGGCATATATTATCTCAACAATTCATTCAAATCCAAACGAAAATTTCAACTTTTCCTCAAGAAAAAGTGATGAAAGAAAAAATGAAATCATTTCAAAGCAGTCATGAATAAATCAATATTTTATATTCTATAATTTTTATTTTAATCAAAATATACTTTCTTTTGCTTAACTAGAAAATCTTTACTTTTATTTATTATTTTTTTTTTTATTTTTATACTCTAATTATAACTTTTTGTTCTTTATATTATTGTGATTATAGCATCTTTGAAGTTGAAAATGAATTTTTGAATGTTTTTGAATTACAATGCTTTTTCTCTTTGTCAACTTTCTTTCCTATCGTTCATTGATGAATATCTGACTGATTGATAATTTTAGGTGATATGATTTGTTTAACTTTTATTTGATTCGATTGACTTACATTTCTTAGTGTTATGCATTTTAATGCTATTTCAATCATTCTTCAGCATCATTGTCAATTTTAATTTATAGTTAAAAATCTAATATAATAAATAAGCTCATCTTTAAAGTTTATTTTCTTCTTTTTTTTTTTGAAATTCATCGTGGCAATGCAACAATGGCTTTTTGCATGCAATTTTATTCATTCCTTGCATTTTCTGCATTTTGCAAGTTTTCTTGCAAACTGCATCTGTCCGAAAAACCCAATTACAATTTGTTGAAATATATTTTTGTATTAAATCCAATAAACTAAAGATTATCATATTTGAATAAATTTGTTTCACTTTTATATCTCAATGATAAATCATTTACCCATTAATCGTTTACTAATTGTAGCTTAGCTTATTTGCATTTTTTTAAAAATTTCACAGCTTGTTGACAAAAAAATATTGTTAAAAATTGATACCCATAAATTATTAAGGTTTTCCAGTTTGATGGCCAAATTTAGATTTGGTTGTTTACAAGTTTATTAGCTCTTTGTTACTATTTTTGTTTATCGATTCTTTACTATAACATACTTTTGTAGTGATAAGGCAGTGAAAGTTAAATTTGCATCTAAGTATGAAAGAAATCTTCAATGAATTAAATATACCAAAGTATTTGAAGGGATTTATACTCATTTTTCAGGCCAATTCGTCCGGCACTCATTTGCTTTCCTTCAAATAAAACCTTTTTTACAGCAATTTGTCCTTCTTCAGTTCATATTTTCAAATTGCTACGAAATTATCAGCTATAGATTAATAATTGTGAATCGTTGATTACAAATTCATTCCAACAGAATTCTTCTCGACACATTTATCTATACAAACTCCAAACTAAAACCAAGAAATCCCTAATCAAAATACAATTTCTCGACATCTCTTTATTTACCCAAAATTAAAAAAAAAAGAAGAAGGAAATAAGCGTACTGAGCAAGAATTTATTTCTTAAAACAATGAAATCGCAATAAATTGTAATTTCAAAACGATGTAAAATGTTAATGAAAAAAGGTAGATCATTGATTTGTAGATGATTTTATTTTAATTTGTTAGAATATATTGTTTTAAAAACAATTTCTTTATTTAAACAAGATTTTAACATACGAAATTTGTCAGAGATAAGCTATTGATAACACAATTGTGGTTTTGATAAGTAAGAGAAGTTGGTCGATGTTTCAAAATGGCAGCAGTGTTAGGTGAAAAAGCATTCTAACTATGCAAAATATAATGATAAGAGGAAATCATTATCAAAGATAACAATGATAACAACATGTAATATGTGCCAAAATCAAGGTTACTATAGGAATTTCTAAATTTCAAAAAACTGAAATGGCTTTGACCATATTTTACGGGAAAAATCACGAGAAAAACCATTATTTTAAAAAATTTGCGCAGAAAACGATTCTTGAAAAATCCTATTCGAAATTATACTTTAAATTGTACATTAGCATTGTGTTTCCATGCAATTTCATTAAGGATTTATTTCAACCGATTGTTTCTTAGTTTCTTTGGACTATGATCAGAATAAGAAATGCAATAGATAGAAGAATAAAAATTAATTTTTTTAAAAAAAAATAAGATCGAATATCTATGATAGTTGCTGCAAAGCCAATCCTCGACTAGAACGAATTTCAATTCATCAATAAAAATAAAAAAGAATCGGTTGGAAGATTTTCAGAAGGAAGTCTGGAACGTTACAGTATTGAAATTTGAATAGAGAACAAATTGCCAGGTTGGATAATAGATATGTTTCATTAAAAAGTTATCGCCAGAAGAAAATATACTTTGGTCAGTTTTGAAGTTCAGAAATTTCAATCGGATTTGGTCGACGTGAATGAATGAATAGTTACAGCAGCTGCTATTCAGATTCTTTGATAATAAAATGTCTAAATTTAGACAAAACTCCCGAAGGAAAAAGAAGAGAAGACAATATATCTTTTGCGCCCACCACTGGGACAGCGAATGCGACATTTGCCCTACCCACAACTAACACTCGAATAAATCTTTTCATGGGTTTCTTTTAGAGAAATAAATAACGGAGAAAGCGAAGGCAAAATGTTTCTGTTACACTTTTTGTAAGTAAGAGAGTGTTCGATATCTATTAAAATTCAACTTTTACACCTCAAACAAAGAAAAGAAACTTTACCCTTATATAGGGTGGGTAGAGGGATAATAGCCCTCAATCCCTTATAACCTCAACGACAGAAGGGTCACAATTATCTTTTATCATCAAAGAATTATCACTGCAATTAAAATTAACTGAAATGGGGAAGTAAAAATTGAAGATAGCTCAGTTTGATATGAAACACCGGTTGAGGGCTAATTCAGAATTACTGGAAATGAGCGAATTTTAAATTTTTTAAAAGTTGATTTAAAAGGAATCAAAAATTAAATTCCGGACATCTACTACTACAATTAAATTAATTGGTCCAAATAGAGCATGTGTATGTAACCAATGTAAATTTCACTTCAGAATTGGAAAAATTCTGAAAATTGAAAATGACAAGCATTCAGGACCGAAATACTATTAAGTAGAACGGATGACATCAAGCAAATTGGCCCTGGAAAGACTCGAAGCACAACTATAAATGATACTAATGAAACTGTTAAAACTTTAAAATGCATATCAACGACTATCAGTTAATGTCCAACGATTAGCTATGCTACGACATAGCTCAGTTAGTGATGTGACAAAATTTAGAGATACCAAAAATATTCCAAATACATAGAAATTGAATTACTTGATGTCTTGTCTTGAAGAAGAGGATCTAATAGCTCCGAAGAAAAGTTTTAAAAGAAAAATATGGCAAATTCTTTTCAATTATACTTTTACAATGAATTTATGCTCAGCCAAAAGAAATGCTTGAAAATGGAAAGTAATCACTGAAACAATGGAAAAAATTCTGTGACAATTGAATTTAAAGCATTTTAAGGTTAGAAGTTGTCACTGAAATTAAATTAATGCCATGGCTATTAGACAAGGTATATTAATTAAAGAAAGATAAATGTGGAAGTAAGACAATTCGTAGTGCAATAAGACGAAAAAGGTTCTAAAGCTAAACTCTTAGCGAAGAGCCAAGAAAGGAACTTCTATGAGACTAAAAGAGAAGTATCAATCATAGCCAAATTGAAGGGTCTAAATAAAATGATTTTCAGTGATTACGGATTCAAAGAAATGATCCAAGGAAATTTCTTTGGCTAACAGTGCTAGAAGACTGTGCGCATTTTATGTTTTATCATTTATAGTTATCTTTTATAGAGAAAATCCGATAACACAAGCATTTACTAATTAGTTAAATTATACTTTCAAATAAAATTAAAATTCAATTAGCCATAAATACAGAGAAAATTAATCCAGTGCTACTAACGACTAGCTAAAAATTTGTAAATTTTGTTTTAATTTCACTTTTTTATGTCAAAAATTTAATGAACTTAAAAATAGTTTGTATTATGCCTAATTTCGTTATTTTTTTTTATTCTATGTTATATTTCTTTTT